GTGAGGAGGAGCAATCAGAACTTTGAGTAAACTATACCTTGAAGGCAATCACGGTTCTCTGCCTTCTTCCTCACAAGCCAGCGGTAAGGAAGTCTGACCAAGAGTTTCCGGCGTGGCCTTGCAGATTTGCTTTTGTTGGGGACGATTACTTGGATCTTTGGTGGAGAAATGGGTTGAGGAGAGAGAGAGCAGTAAGGAATGTTGAAATAGAGGGATGTTGAAATGATTAATGCAAAAATTAAATAAATTTAATATAACAGACCAGCCTCCCAAACTCCAAGACCAGGCTTATCCATAAAAGCCTGAGACTTTTTAAATACAAAGAATATGAATTTAAGTTTGAATCCAATAATTAAAAAAGACGGGCTTGGCCAGGACATGCCGAAACAGCCTGGCCTAAGCCCCCTCGCGGACCCCCTACCCTTATTATCACCCCTAATATTAGCATCCAAAATATCCAATATACATATTAATTCCGGAACAGTGTGTTCATCAACTTTTTTACCTAAATGTCACGCGAACAGTATTATTTTCCAATATGCCACGTGGACAAGTTCGCTGGGTACTGTAGCAAACTCGATTTGCTGACGTGTCACGTAACGAACTTGGTACTGTGTCCACTAAAAATGTGACATGACAGCAAATCGAGTTCGCTACAGTATCCAGCGATCTTGTCCGTGTGGCACAGTGGAAAATAACATTGTTTGCATGGCATTCAGATAAAAAAATTGCTAAACAATGACATTTTGATCGGTATTCCTATTCATTCCTCTCTCTAAGGTTACCTAACAAGTATGTACTCGAGGATCACATGAAATGAGCTCCTAATTACATATTAGCTAATCACGTAATCTCACAAAACTTATAAATGGGCCCGGTCCGTTTGAAAGCCACAGTACTGGCCCAACACCCAACATGTCTTTGTCTCTCTCTGTGAGCATAGGATCTAACGAAATCGAGGAGTTAGGGGAAGAAGTTGAGACTGAGAGGGAAAGAATTGTATTCATCTTTATGCGCAGGTAAATTCGATCATAAAAACAGAATCTTTTCCTTCCGTTTTGCGTTTTCGATCGAAACCCTTCTTTCATTCCCTTTGTTTCCTCTGAAAAACCATCGAAAATAGAGAACTAGTTGCTTAGATATTAGGTGCCATATTTATTACTATTGGATCTGTGGATTGTCTCATTTTCACCTCTCTTTTTTTGAACCATTTTATGATGTTTAACAGGCTTGTCTTGTGTTTCAATAGATTCAATCCCCTTCCTCGTAACCTGTTCTAGTGAGTTATACTATATATATTATCCTATATATACATGTGTGTGTGTGGAGATTGAAATTTTATTGTTTGTTTTTGTTTTCTCAACATGCGTGTGTGTGTGTGTGTGTGGAGATTGAAATTTTATTGTTTCTTTTTGTTTTCTCAACATGCGTGTGTGTGTGTGTGTGTGTGTGTGTGTGTGTGGAGATTGAAATTTATTGTTTGTTTTTGTTATCTCAACATGTTTTTTCGTTGTGTGTCCCTAAGAAGTGGTCAAAGGTTGGGTTGTTGAATAATAGAATTGTATGTTGCAAATGGACTAGTTTGGAAAGCTATAGATGAATTATAGTTTTGTCAGGTAAGTTTGGGCTAGGCCTTTCTTTCCCTCCAAGGAAATACAGATGAATATCTCTTCTAAACACTTTTACAGCCACCCAGTGTTAAGGGTAACTTTTATTTCTTCTATCAAATCTGTTCGATGAAACATGGTTATTTAGTCTTTCAGAATTCAGACTACCGTTCTGTTTTATTTTATTTTTTCAAATGGTTGATAGCAATACTTCCCATTGATTTGAATAGAAGTAAATAGTAGTTAACCATAACACACTGATCAAGGAATGGCTGAACTTGGCAGGATTAGCAGTAGTGTCGTTTTGTTTGATAAGAAACGTAAGCTTTAGTGCATCTTATTAATTTTGCAGCCATCTAGTGTTAAGGGAAAACTTTTCTTTCTTCTATCAAATCTATTTATTGAAAAATATTTATTTTGTCTTTCAGACTGCTTTTCTGAAAGCATTTCAAATGGTTGATAGCAATACTTCCTCCGGATCACCTGAAGAAACTCAAAATCCCAACCCAGATGGGAATGCACCTTCTGATAGTGATCTTGCATTGGATAATCTAGCGCAAAAAGTTCAAGAATCTCTTTCTCTGGAAAAAAAACATAAGTTTTGGGAAACCCAACCTGTTGGGCAGTTCAAGGATTTAGGGGACACCAGTTTGCCAGAAGGACCTATTGAACCTCCAACCCCCTTATCTGAGGTCAAACTAGAACCATACAACCTTCCTAACCTCTATGAATGGGTTACTTGTGACATCAACTCCGAGAATATGTGCGATGAGATATACAACCTTCTCGCTAATAATTATGTTGAGGATGATGAGAACATGTTTAGATTTAATTATTCAAAGGAATTTCTGCGCTGGGCTTTGCAACCTCCTGGTTATTTCAAAAGTTGGCATATTAGTGTCCGTGTTAAAAGTTCCAAGAAGATGGTTGCCTTTATATCAGGTGTTCCTGCTAGAATCCGAGTTCGTGATGAGGTTGTTAATATGGCAGAGATAAATTTTCTCTGTGTTCATAAGAAGCTTCGAACAAAGAGGCTTGCTCCGGTCATGATCAAAGAGGTGACAAGGAGGGTGCACTTGGAGAATATGTGGCAGGCAGCCTACACTGCTGGAGTGATTCTTCCTACTCCAATAGCAACTTGCCAATACTGGCACAGATCATTGAATCCCAAGAAGCTGATTGATGTTGGTTTCTCTAGGCTTGGTGCACGAATGACAATGAGTCGAACCATCAAGCTTTACAAGCTACCAGAATCAACAGTCACCCCAGGGTTCAGAAAGATGGAAATCCATGATGTTCCTGCAGTTACAAGGCTAATTAGGAACTATTTTAGCCAATTTGTTGTTGCGCCTGATTTTGATGAAAATGATGTGGAGCATTGGCTTCTTCCAAAGGAGAACGTTGTTGATAGTTATCTGGTTGAAAGTCCTGAAACTCATGAGGTCACTGACTTTTGTAGTTTTTACACACTTCCTTCCACTATCCTTGGCAACCAAAATTATTCAATTTTGAAAGCAGCATATTCTTTTTATAACGTCTCGACAGTCACGCCGTTTCTTCAGCTGATGAATGATACTCTTGTTGTGGCAAAACAGAAGGATTATGATGTTTTCAATGCATTAGATGTCATGCAGAATGAAACCTTCTTGAAAGAACTGAAGTTTGGACCAGGCGATGGGAAACTTCATTATTATCTTTACAACTACAGAATAAGGCAGGCATTGAAGCCATCAGAGCTTGGTCTTGTGCTTCTGTAGTCTAAATTTTGGAATTAATCATGGTATGGATGAATTATGAATCATAATGGTTTTCCTGATAGATGGTTGCATGTTATGTGGTGATCCACACGGTTAAACCTTACATTTTGCTTTACCTTTTGATAAAACAAATTTTAGAGAGTCCTTGGTGGCAATTATGGTGTGTCAGTGTCTCAGTGATGGTATAACTTAAGGATTGCCAATTCCTGTTTGCGGATTTTTTCATGCTGATGGTGGTGATGTCTCTTTTTTAGTTTAAATGTTTGACATCTAATATTCCTTTTAGCAAAGCATATAATTATCTGTTCCTGGACTTTAATAACATTTGTTATTACTGCATGTTGGACACATGGCTGAAACTAGGATGTTCAGCACAAAATGCAAGAACAGTGTCATTGCAAATCTCCATGTTCCGCCTCTCATGCATTGATGATGCATATTCGAGAGGCCTACGCATATGGAGGATTAAAATCAATGTGAACAAATGACCCGTACGGAATGCCAATTTCGTAGCATTCCTCTTTCCCTGCGATTATCAATATTTAACATGCATTTTTCGTTTATTAATTTTGGAAGACAATATATGTTATATGGGTAAAGTGTGTGTCATTTTAAAGGATGTAAAATTATGTCATTTTAAGAGAGAGAAAGATATAGATAAAGAATGAGAGAGAGAGTTGACTAAAAAAAATAAAGGTGTGGGTCCTACCTCTTTATAAGAGTGAAAGGATATAAGTTGTGTCATTTAAAAGGATAAACACTTTTTCCATGTTATATATACTGGGATTGAGAGTATTTTATTCTTGGATGAATTTTATCTTCATGTTATTTTCTAGTTTTTGGATGATCTAATTTGATAAATATTATTCTTGCAAATCCTATCATGAACGAAATTATACAGAAAGCAATTCCAAAGTGATTTTATTAAGGGGGCAAAATGGATAAACTAAGTATACTTTTGATGGTTTTAAAACTGGACTTGGATGCAAAGAGTTATAGTAGAATTAAGCGATATAAAACAAAATAAAGGGGGTAAATGATTGTACGACAAACCACGAGAGGATTTATAAACTTTTCCCTAACTATTTATTCTTATTATTAATGATGAATAATTATGTGAACATTAGAATTGAACTAAATAATTTACTAAACTAATTCATATATCATTCATAAGTAAACAAGGTATCCATTTTGCAACTATAAATAACATTTATACTAGATGGAAACATCATCGTCCTACTCTCAAGTTTGGCACTTACATCAATTATGGTGATCAAGGCGGGTGAAATTATTTTGTGAGCTATAATTTTAAAATTAATCTTAATTAAATACAAAGACAAAAATATAATTAAAATTTGATTAGAATAAAAAAGTATTATTTGAATAATCTAAAAAATAATTAAACAATAACTTATATTATATGAGCACAAAATTGAAAATACCTATAGTGGTATCCAATCAAGTTATAAGTAAATACTGAGATTCGAGCTTTAAGATAACCTTAAATTTAGCCAAATGACAATAACATTAAATGAGTTTATATTGCTTCTACATTGGAAAAATATTCAGTAGTACGAATGTACCTATCACTCGATAGGACCTTTACCAAATACGAAAAAAAGTAACATATTTACACTATCCTTACCTTTAAAAAATTTTCCTTTCATATCCCTATTTTTTTCTTTTTTGATAAGGATGTACCTACTCCTGTCGTAGATTTACTCCTACATTGGATCCAAATCCAGATAGATTCAGTGGACTGTTACTATTAATACATAAAGACATGTTCGGCCTATAAACATCACATGCCACGCAATAAGAAATTAAAATGCCAAAGGAATCTGATAAAATAAATTCCCCCCAAAAAAAGTTGAAATACAATATCATTGGATCAACAAATTTTTATAAACAGAAAGTGAAATCAGGAGGAATCTATTTATCGACCTTGCATTGAACAACTTAAGCCAAGGGGATAATTTCACCGCGGCAACCTGCATGAATAGACCCACAAGATCAAATGGTTGTTATTATGAATCATACGATTGGAAAATTAACAAATAAGTAGGTAGGATTGCGTATGGATGGTACATTGTTCATAAAACTCTTTGGCTAGCTGTAACATTGAATCAGTATCTTCAGCCATCCATGAGATTCTTTCTGCCTCCTTGATTGCCTCAGCGGCCAAATATGATTTGCTTTCAGCATCAGCCACTCTGTAGGCCGCAGTATCAGCAGCTTCCTTTATTGTCTCATTAGATGCCATAAAAGCAGAGGCTGGCAATGGCCGTTGTGGCCGGACATCCTTTTGTTTCGGTGTAGGCGATTTTGTCCCTGATGAGGCCTCCTTTTTTATCTTGTAACAATTTTGTACCTGCAGTTTAGATGCTAAAGAGTTGAGAAATCCACCTTGAATGAAAACAAGCTTCAAGATCGTTCGGCTTAAATGTGTGGGATTTCTGCTTGTGTGCCCGTTGGAAGCAGTGGAACAACAATTTTGGGAGGGCAAGAGTCCTGAAAATGGAAGCTATGGTAATGGTGATAGTCTTGTGCAGTAGAAACTTGGAAAGCTATGATGCTGAAAAAGAAGAGAGCAAGGGACAGCTACTCCTTAGAGAATATCCCCCACCCAAGATCCTTACAGAAACATATGGCAGAACCACTACCCAATTTCAAACCATTCAGAGGTCTAAGGAATACGTATCAGTCAGAAAAGAATTTCAAAAAGACTGAGTGAGTGGCATAGATTGCTGGGCTGGCATATCACCGGCATGCTGGTGGAAAACAATGCTTACACCTTATAGCCTGTGGATACATTGGTAAGAAGTGTCTAGTGGGAAGCCCCATAGCCAATTGCCAAAGTAATGTTTTCGGACACCAGATTGCCAAAAATCCAAACCACCCTTCCTCTGCATGGCCCTACAAGTCTCCCAATTCAAACTGATCTCTCCATTTCTCTCCCACCCTGACCCGAAAAGTCTATCATATCCTCCCAATGCTTTGAGGAACCCCAATTGGATTTTTGAACAAAGATATGAAGCAAAGAGCATTGGTAGACTGGCAAGCTTGAATAAGGGTGACTTTTAGAGCAACAAAAGGTTTGAGGGCGTAGGAGCTTAGAAATAAGGGAATAAAACTGAGAAGCAGAGGAGGCAGGCAGATGCATACTGTTTAGGAAAAGAGAACAACAATCAGTCAATCACTGATCAAACATGCACTAAAGCCAAGTCAACCAAGTAAGATTCTTTGACGATAAAACAGCATAACATCCACAAGTTGAAATAATAAAAATTAATAACTATAATATACAATATATCTGTAAAAGCATCAATAGAGGATTGATTTACCTTTTCAAGTTTCCCTTGACTAACAAGCCTCCTCAACCTTGTACTTAATGCTCTTCTGAAATTTTGAGGAACCTGGTGCTTTTTCTGCAGTATTATATGTGGTTGTTGTTACTTCTAAAGTAAAGAAAAAAAGGTGCAGGGCTTCAACATACTACTTCGAAAGATCATAATGGAAAAAATATCATCTTCAGGTCAAAAATACTGGGAGGTTCTTTGAGTTGATGAATTGATCTTAAATGCCCAAAAGTAAGGTGAAGATGGCAAAGGGATACGTAACGTTACAATTTCCAAACATGTCAGGCATAACCAAAATAATTTAACCTAACAGGGAAACAAATTGTTTATTACTCTCTTGTAAGAGTGCACTGGGGAGTCAGACAGCCCAAGGAAAACTCAACCCTAGATCTTCAAAGCACAATAATGATCGCAAAATTATATCAAGGTAATTGAGATGCATTTCCATTCTAGGCTTTGATACGTAAAATATTTATTATGTAATATCAGAAACACCACGATGAAACTAAATGGTATAGTGAGAGCGTTGTCAAAATATGGTAACATTAAAAACAATAAAGATCATCTTACCTCGATGAAACTAACAATGGCATTTAGGTCAGATCCATTGGTATCTTTTAGTGTTGATAAAGCTTCAAAAACCATTGCATTATACCTGATAAAATGAACAAAAATACAAACAACCCCTCATAATATGATCTTAGTTGACTGAACAAATAGCATATCACATTAAAATGCTCCATCAAATTTATAACAACATAATTAATGACAGTCAGCTAGAAATGATGTAAAGGGTAAATGATAATGGAATGAATAGTTCTGTAAAACCACGTTTACTGCATAAAAAAAAATAAAGTTGATAAGTGGATAAGATAACATTAACATATCTCTCCATCATACATTTAAAATGACTGATATTTTGTTATATTGAAATTTCAACTTCAGTTGTCGTTTGGTGTCCTTGGTCGCAGTCAATGCAATGCCAGGACTTAAGGAAAACCTCTCTCCTTAGACTTGTTATTGGATGAGAATATTTTATGGCATCTTTTAGCTCAGCAGGTGGATTCTTCCAAGGCTTTTATTTGGTAGACATGCAGAGGTTGAGGGGTTGAATAGCTTTTTATTATGAACATCATTGTATGTTTTTACCTTTTGCTGCTTTGTATAAGTAACACATCTTATCATCTTTTTCTTTGTAACTTTTATTCAGTTTTTCATTCAAATAAACTTTCATCTATTCTCCATAAAAAGAAAAGTAAATGCAAAAATTCTGAATCAATTGTATCATCTATGACGCACGGATACTCCAAAATTGGTGACCTATCCATATCCGACACCAATACTCATACAACAAACTTGCATTTATTTTGGCATATCCCCAGATTTTTTGTTTTGTGAACACCCACCAGACCAACACCCAAAAAGTTTTATTATTTAAAAAAATCTAAGATACAAATTCAACTATTCAAGCCCCATTCCCACCAATTCCCAACCTCAGATTATAATACAACTCTTACAATTTTGTTTCCTTCAAAATTATTGCACAAAATAACCATCAACATGAATTATAACATAGGTAATCATCATAGACAAGGTGAAAAGTGGTCAACACTCAACAACAAGTAACTGTCAAATAATAATTCAAAACAAAAGCTGCCTCTGAATGAAAATATTTATTTTTTTGGGATTAATGTAAAGAACAGTCACTTCTAGGTTACTAATATAACATTAATTTTGCGTTAATGGGTGCAAATGGATAAGGCATATAGATAGTACTGACATAGATTAAGATACCTTGGAGGATTTTTGACATCATGGTCATTTTGAGAAGGATCAGAAGGTGCCGTTTGCTGAGGCACAGCAGTAATTTGTAGAGTGGCACTGGAAGCAGGAGAAGGAGCTTTGAGTTTGGGAACCCTGGATTTTTCTTTGGACCCTTGAGCACCATTACTCACACCCAAATTTCGCCATTTATCCTGAAAATCAAAATCAACAAAAAAATAAAATAAAATAAAATAAAATAAAAACAAAAATTGTAAAAGAAAGAAGTAGTTGGGTGTTAGGAGGTAGCTAGGTACCTTGAGGTCGATGTTGGAACGGGAAGTGAGGAAAGGGGCAAATTGGGGATCTTTGAGAATGTTCTTCCATTTCCCAGGGCCATGCTTTTCCACTCCAGCGATTAGGGCATCTTCTTCATCCTGCGTCCACTTCAGCTTCTGATTCCCCATTCAACATTCAAACCTTACCCCTTCCCTCTTCTTCTTCTTCCTCCTTTCACTTTCAGATAAAGCATGAAGTGTTCATGAAATAACTTGCATGTTAACAGCAAGTGTTCTTCCCTGGTGTTTCAGTATCATAGTTGGGCTTCATGATTAGGGCCTATTACATTTCTAGGCCCGATAGGCCCAGATCCAACATTACTGCTCTGGATTCACATATTTTATATTTTTTTGGTAAATTGTTAGGTCTGATTTAATTTGAGTAGGTTTGGGTTTCCCCAAAATAGCATGATCCAAGTGAATAATTAATTTTCATGAATCATGCCAAAGAGAATAACATGTATTCTATATTTCTATTTGCATTAATAACTATTATTAGTAAATATTTTTTTTAAAAGTATTTAGATTCAAATAAATATTTAAATTTAATTACCGTTTTATCTTTAAAAGTAAATATTTCGGGCAAAACATTCGTTTGTTTATCTTTATTGAATAATAAAATTTATCTTTACATGATGCCAAATACTCAACCCTTACGAAGCTTCAGTACATAACCAATTAAGAAATTTGTAAGTCAACTATTTTGTTATATATAGCATTTGTAAATTATTTTTAAATTATCAAAGTGATGACATACGAAATATATATATATATATATATATATATATATATATATATATATATATATATATATATATATGGGAAGAATTTGTTTATAAATTTTTTTTTACAAATTTTTTCAAATAAAACTATTTACTCCGGAAATACATAGTGTAACCTAATGTACTTCCGAGAGTACATAGTGTAGTTTATAAACAAAAATTTTGTAAATATAACTCTCCACATCTTCGTTTGTGTCTATGGCTAGTGAGTTTCCTGTAACATGATATTTGTATTTTCCAATATTTTATATATATATATATATATATATATATATATATATATATATTTCGTATGAGATATAATATTTTACTTACTTTTTTTCTTACTTATCTTACCTGCTCATTTTCAATACTACTAAATCAGAATCTCACTCTTTTTCTCTCCTCTTGAGATCAGAATTAGAGGTATTCTTCACAAGAAACAATCTTGTTCATGGAGCTAGTTCTCTAAAAGGAGATTTTTTGCATTCATAAAGACTTGAACACAAAATCTTACTTAAGCAGAATCAAGTATGTACTACTTGAACCAATCACTTGGTGACAAGTTGTAAACTTTTTATTGCAAGTGAATCTTTCGTTTTAATTTTCCACCTCCATAATTGAAGATTTTTAAAGCCTTTGGATATTAACTTAAATCCATAAAGTAAAGTACTTTGCAAGATGTTTAAGGGCTCCGCCACCCCTGCATATTGCAAATCTAGCACTGTACAAACATAATTGCTTATATTATTGCCAAAAACAATAACACGAACGCCTATAAACTCAAAAGATAATTATACATAAGTGGAAAAGGAATTAATATTCCTTGTCGTGCATAATTTATTCTAAGGTCACAACCACAACTATTCACAAACCAACAACACTTTTTTAAATGGAGATACTGTTGGGGATTCCTCTGAAAGTTAGTCCCTCCTCACTTGAAGGATAAAGCAAAGTGTAAGGCATGCTAACTGGACCAACTCGGTTTCTCAAAGTTTCATCATTGTTCCTTTGTATGAGTTGTTGCTCAATATCTGCTAGTGTTTTTCCAAACTTCTTGAAGGCAGCTAAGGCATTTGTATCAGAAGTCCAAAATTCAGCACTATCTCTCTGCCCAAGGTAATACTCATCAGAAGCATGCCTTGACAAGATTTCTATGACCGAAAGATCAATGAGAGTTTGAAACTTAGGTGTAATTGTTCTCAAGTAAGCCTTCTGAGGGTTTTTTACTAGCTCATCATACTCAGTGGTTCCTTTCTCAGGCATGAATCTTCTGCTAAGAGTTGGACGGTTTAAGATGAAACCTCCATAAGGGTATTGTCCAAAATTAACAGCTGCATGAAGTGCTGAAGCAATCCATATGATAATGCTGCAAGCTTGAATCAGGTCTTCACGAGATTGCATTTTAGGCCACCATGTCTCATTTTTCTTGTCACCATGACCAACCTCTACAGCTTCTTTCCACCAAGATTGGAGTTCAGAATCTTGCTGAATTGTGCTATCTGATGTGTAGTATAAGGAGACATAGTCTTGAACCCATGTATTAATAGCACCCCAAATGTCTAGTCCATCAACAGCATAAGGGTAGTCCTCTATCACAAGGCGAAGACCATGTGGGGAAGCTGAGTCCTCCACTGCTATTCCCCTACAAACAACATATATAATAATTAAGATCAAAAATGGTTTCAAATCCATGCCTTTTGTATTCAAATTTTCATTATTAATCAACTAAACTTCAATTGGAATTTTGGATTTTGTTAATGGTGTGTATATTTGTAAGGATTACCTCTTGATAAGATCAGCAGGTAGTGCTTGCTCTGGAAAAACCCAATCCTTGTAAATTACTGAAGACATTTCCATAGCATGACTTCCCCATAAGAATGTTTTTTCAATAACACCATCTTCATTGACTAATGCTAGCCTAGCAAGTGCATTTATATTCATGGTATCACGATAGTGAGGATGTAACAGTTTATAAATAGGATGAAGCACACTAAGCTGTCTGTTTGTTGCTATGACGAATGGCTCAACAACTGCATGCGTATTTAACCTGTAATCCATGTAAAGATATCACTAATCATTTTATATATACATAAACCTAAGTTTATTTGTATGAATCCCATTGACAAAATTTTATACCAGTGGCTGACTAGTTGATGAAAGCATGAGTCATTTACAATAACATAAGCCTTGGCCAATAGCCATATAGAACTTTCAACACCTTCAGCTGCAGGCAAGTAGACATTACTAACAGGACCATGTTGATCTCCCTGAGGATTTGGCAAACTTAACTCAATGGCCAATGGCTTTAAAGTTCCATCAGTTTTCAAGAAAAGGATGGTTCTAGAAGCATAAGCCTTTGTGGAAGTTGAGTTTATTATCTTTAGATATGGAAATATTGCATCATGGTGATCCAATAGAAACAATTTCTTGCTCTGGATAGCCTGCTCAACCCAATTTAACTTAAGTCAATTTTATTTATTGGAACCATACAAACAATAAAATGGCTTTGAGTCTTTGACTGCAAAGCAATAGCAAAATTCATCTCAATAATATATTAATACATGAGACACAAATTTATCTTTACCTCATCTGCAGTGAGCCCTTCTAAGGTAGGTTCTATAAGTTCTTTGGTTATTGTGCTAGTATGATCACCATAGACTGCGCTATCTAGCTTACTTTTTGGAGGAAAATCCTGCAATTAATTTTGTGAAATTATGAGGAATGTTTTTAAACAATGGTTCTCTCCATTAAGGCCATTAAGTAGATCAATGTTGAGAATAGGAATTTAAACTAGTATGAAAATTCAATGTTAGTTAGATGTAGTTGTTTAAACAATGAACTATCAATCTTACTTGAAGACAACGAATTAAGCCAGGATTTACACCAACAATAATCTCTCTTGCAAATTCTTCATCAGTCATCCATGCAGACTTACTCACTGCTCAAAATAATAAAGAATAACCATTGTCAAATTATCCATTAGCTTTGCATGCTGTTGAATGTAGAAAAATTATAACAATTTAAGTACTTGTAAGTGTCATTTTATCTAAGAAAGGTAAGATACCTTGAATAACTTTAGGAGGAGGAAACTTAAGGAACTGTTCACCATCAGTTCGGAAGATTTCACTTACCACTGGTAAAGATTGAGTAAGCTTACTAATTATATCTGTAGGCAGCTTAATTCCTCCTTCGTAGAGACTATTCACATCATCAAAGCTATCAAACTCATTTGGCGTGAAATTTATATCAAATACAGATTGTAACGCAGGGATTACATCTTGAGATACAGATTTCAGACCATAAGCAAGAAAGTCTGAGGATTTCACGTGACCAAAAGCTTCATCTCTTGGAATATAGACACTGTCGCTCCTGCTCTCACTCTTAGGATCTATTAAAGATGATAGAATAATAAATATAAGCAACGATAAAATGCTTTTTGAAGCCATGAAAAATTTCCATAACTCTTGAAACATTGCATAATTTTCAAGGCATTGTAGTACACCTTTCACCCAATGTAAACAATTATGTTATGTCTAAATTGTGGGGCTTCTTTATTGGACATGATTTAACTTGGAAGTATGGATTTAAATAAGTTTGGTTAGAATGTGACTAGCCAAAACATGGCTTTAAATTGATAAAGACTTATCACCCCCTTTAGCCAAAACATGGCTAGTACGAACCAAACCCAACTTTGATGAGAGTCAGTCAAGGAAAACCCATGGCAGTGGACCACAACCAATAAATCAACTATAACAAAATGTACTAAACACCACGATTCAACTCAAAACGTTAAGACATTGAATGTATGAGTATTCCAAATTATATGATATTTACTTAACCTTTTTTTTATAAATGTGAAATTCCATCGCACTTAATTGAATATCATAAGAAACTATGGGCGTGTTTGGATATGTTTTTATTTTTTTGTTTTAAAAACTATTTTGAATATAAATTTTGAAAATTGATTTTGAAAGTAAAAACACAATAAAACTTGTTTGAATATAGTTAGATTTGATGTTATAAAGAAAAACTTGTTTGAGTATAGTTAGATTTGAAGTTATAAAGAAGTTGCAGTTATTTACAAAAATATCATTAATAAAATTTCATAATTACAAGATTGCCATTATAAAATAATTTAAAATTAAAAAGAAATTAAATTTATTTACAAGAATGTCATTAATGAATTCCCATATTTATAAAATTGCCACTGCGTGCTAAAACAAAAAAACAACTTTTGAAAACATCATTGGGTTGGCCTGATTTTTTAGTTTTTAAAACAAAAAAACAATCATGATATTTAGAATCATTTTTTAAATTCCAAACAGGATTTGGATGTGAAAAAGTAATTATGTGATCATGTTATTTGATCAGAACCATTCGTTTAAAAATCATATATTTTTTTTCTCTTATCTCACCATGATTGTGATCAAATAACATAACTATAAGTATTTTTTCACATGAAATGATCCAAATTTCTCAAAACAAGTTTTTTGTTTTAAAAGTTTAAAAACTGTTTCAAACAGGCCCTATGTATGTGTTTTTGCCCAAATTATGAACCCCCTTCCACAAAATGAAATTAAAAAAAAAATGTGAATTTATGCAAGAGTATCTTTAAAAAAGGAAAAGAAGAGAAAAGCCTGACCTGTACGTGTTGGTTTTCTGCCTGTTCTTCCCCTACGAGGATAAGGATAGGTGCTAGATCCTCCCAAAACTGGACGAGCATACTGTTGACCCTTATCTGGGTCACCCAAATCATTGTAAGTATCATAATCATATATTCTTTCCCAGTACTGTCGCTCCCCTGTTCCATCTCCTCTTAAATTCTTCAACTCTAATTGTCTGAAGGAGACTAATGCAGCTGGTGTTGCGCTTGGTAGATAAGTCTACAATATATTTCATGTATTTTCTATTAACGATATATATAGAGTTCAAGAAACTTCAGAACGAACAATACTAACAGTTGAAAGGGAGAATATACTTACATATATATACTATGCCAAATATGTATAAAATTAGACTATTAAAAAAAGGCAATTATACTTCTCGTGTTAAGAACCATGTTAAAAAAAGGCAATTATACTTATATATATATATATATATATATTTTTTTTTTTTTTTCTTTTTTTTAATTCCACTTGAAAGCGGGAGACGGTGAGAATCAAGCTCTGATACAATGTTGAGATATATAGTCTCACATTAATTGGATGAGCAACTAATATGACCTCTATAAGGTCTTGGACACTCTCACCCCTTGAGCTAGCTTTTGGGATGGTGACCTCAAGTTTCTTAACATTGCTAAAAAAAAAGTTCTTCTACCGCAGACACATATTTATCAAAACATGGTGTTGGATTTTAATTTTTTTTAAAAAAAAACCAAAGGATCCCATTTTTCTATGCTTTTTGCTGCAGAAGAAGTGAATCCTAAAAAAAATTCACAAACTTGTGGAATAATATGTGTGGATTATTTGACTGTAAAAATATGTGAATTAACATCTCTACCTAGAATGATATAATTTAAGTATTTAAATTCCAACTATAACTTGCTAGATAGATAGATAGCTTACATTGTTGGCGAAGAAAATGCGATCACTTTGATAGTTTTTTGCATTGTAAATCCATGAGTTGCAAACAAAGTGGATGGTTCCTTGGTTTGGAATATCTTCAAGAGTCAAACTGATAAGCAGGAACTCAGCTGACAAATAGTTCTTAATATAAAATGCTCCAGGGATTCCAAAGTTACTATCATAATCAAATTGAATACTGAATGCATTTTGCTTTGCTCCCAAGGTTGGCAAATTGATAATAGGATCTTTTATAAAAGCCGGATTTCCCAGTTTTCCTTTCCCGCTTGCTGCAAAAAATTTGTGCACAAAATTTGTAGATATTAAAGCAGAATTTTAATAGTGCAATATATTTACCGAGGAAAGGGGCATGTTCCTTATTAATTCATCACAAAAAATTTAAAGAATTCAATTTGAAATTTAGCGTGATTCACATCTTGAGCGGACTGTTCAATTTCTCTTAATAATATCATTTTGTTATCTCTTAAGTAAAAAGCTTACTCTTAAGATTTTACTCTTATTTTTTTAGGACTTCAAAACTTACTATTAATATTAATTAGAATGATTGATGATTTGAGCATGATACTAGAGCCAAGTGGGAAGTTAAATTTATCTTAATATTATAAAAGTTCTTCTTGTGATTATGATTGTTGAAGTAATAAAACTGCTTATACAATTATTTTACTCATTCAACAAAAATGATTCGAAGCCATCATTTTAGGACAATGTTACCTGTACGTCACAATAAATATATTATATAGGTTTAACTTTTAATGGTTTGTTTGGCTTTTGTTCTCATTTTTCTCCATGAGTCACAATCTTCAATAATTGTGTTAGTTTTCTATTTAACTTGTGACTATCTCATTAGTGAGTAATGGACTAGGACCATATAAATAAAACGATTTCTAAAATTAGACTTTTAGATGGTGTTAAAGTCCACTTATTATTGAATACATTATATTACTAAGATGTAGAAACGAGCAAAAATCATAATCATTTGCCCTCAGTTATTGAAAATGTATATCAGAACTTATAGTGACATAGTTAATGAAGGACGATGCTTTATATAAATATATTTCTAGCCAAATATATATATGTTTGTCAAAGAAATTATGTATAAAACTATTAGAATGACTTTTCCTTTGTTGGGTTGAAACAATTGTTTATCATGATATCGTAACATTTGTAAATATAGAATTATGGAAAAGTATTTGTCATTTTAAATGACACAAAGTTATGTCATTTCAAGAGAGATAGACACATAATAATTTTTTTATTTAAAATTTAAATTTAAAAAAAACCAATCATTTTCTCTCCCATGATTTTCATTTCTTGTATCTATCTCTTCCCTAAAATGACATAACTTGTGTTATTTAAAGTGACAAACATCAAACCCATAGAATTATGAGTTGCACTCCACTTACTATTGAAAATAAGGGAGTATAAGGTAAAAAAAAAAAAATTAACCCATTCATATTCACATTTCAAGCCAAATAGCATTTGCATATATTAGAAAAATTATATATAAAACCACGGATTTTATTAGCCTTCTTTTACATAAGATAATTATCTTATGTTATAGTGAGAAAATGAGTGGGTCCCACCATTATAAGAAAAAAATATAGGGTACAAAAATCAGAGTGAGAGAACACGAGAGAAGTTATCTTATGTAAAATGAGAGTAATATTTGCCATAAAACCATTAGAGTAACCTTCACCCAAAAACTCGAACTTTTAGGTGGTTGAAATAATTGTTTATCAATATTTGAAGTTTGTTTAAGAAAAAAAAGGTTGTAGTTCCATCCATCACCCAAAGCTTAATACCTTGCTTGAAAACTTTAAGGAGATGGGGAAGAATTGTATAGTTTTTTTGTGCATGAAAGGTGGTAAGTGAAAGAACTTACAATCAGCTTTAGTAGCACTAATCAACTGGAGGGAGACAGATCGGCCGGCGGCGGAAGTAATGGTATCGAATATTGAGCCAACTGCGCTTCCAACTCCACCAACAATCCCCGCAGCACTAGTTATGCTATTGATGTCCAACACTTCCTTCTGCATTAGCACCACTGTGCCTTTGATCTTTTGCCCAAAAGGGTTAAGAAACGACATCTTTGCTTCCTCAATCAAGTTACACTCACTACTTTGGAAATGCTTAGAAAATTGCTAGTGAGGATGCCAAACAAACTTGGTTGGTATTTATAGAGATTATAGAAGAACAATAAACATAAAACAATTACCCTGAGGTTCAATCTTCTATAAGGGATTCACTCCATGTGCCAAATGTGCTTGGTAAAAGACAAAGAAATCATTATCGGACAAGGAAGAGATAATATTGATTAATCATCACAACTTTCTCCTTCAATTAATATTATAATAATGGTAATTATTGAGGAGTAAATGCAACTCTTCTTTTTTTCTTATATAACAACGCCTGCAATAGAAGATGCTTTTATACGAGTATCTTAACTCAACCACATTTTTTTTTAATACAAAAATCTACAGATATATTTTAATAACAATAATTAATTGAAGTAAGGACTCGGCTCATAGAAGACAAGACACTAATTAATCTTAATAAATAATATTTCAAAAAAAAGAAATGTAGAGACTTGATAGAGTATGTAACTTTTAATACCAACGTTGTCTTTTAATAAATAACACCAACGTGTGGGTGTCCTTTTGCCTATTGTAAGTGTAGGGATGATTAAAGGAGATTCTTCTCTTACCTCTTTTGTCTTTTGCTAGGGTTTCTCCTTAGAGTCATTATCGTACTCGTGTGCAATTGGCTATTTTCTGTAGTGTTTATGCAATCATAGAATTAAAACATTTAGCTATAGTTTGAACAAAAGGAAACAAATACAAAAAAAAGGAAACAAAGGTAGACGACGCTGCAGCATAATTGTAGAAATAAAACTAGCATATTATTTCAGACAAAAAGTAAATAAATTTTGCAATCAAAAGTCTTCCTTAACACCTAAGATAGCACTGTCATATCATAATAAAATTATTAACGCAACTCACTCACTTTTTTTTCTACAACAAAAAGCAAAAACATTACACACACATATATATATATATATATATATATATATATATGGGTAAAATATTTTTACAGCCACCTTAGATGAAGTTATTTACAGTTATCCAAAAATTACGTCGTTTAGATTAATAATGGGTATTTTTGTATTTTAAGGTGAATTAATGAAGGGTATTTTCATAATTTTGTTTATTTTTTATCATATACATTTTATTGAAACACCTTTCATTAATCAAAACGATATAATTTTTTGGGTAGTTGTAAATAACCTTATCTAAAGTGACTGTACAAATATTTTACACACACACACATATATATATATATAGAGGCAGGATCTTTTGACACCGGTGTCAAATTTAAAATTTGACACCTCATTTGAGAGCCGTTAGATAAAAAAAGATCAATGGTGTCACATGTTTACAAATCAGAGCCGTTGATCTTTTTTGATCTAATGACTCTCAGATGAGGTGTCAAAATTTAAATTTGACACTAGTGTCAAAGGATCCTACCTCATATATATACAAAAAAGGTAAGGTGCAACATCGTGATCACGTTCTTGCCAAAGCCAACTTGCGCACTATTCTAATTTGAATATTAATTAATTATTTGGTGGTTTTGTCAAAAAATTTGGTGTTGAAAAAAATAAAATCATTATGGTTAATTCACGACTTTTTCAAAGTCATTAATCTTCAATCTCGGGGGCGTTTGGTACGCGGGATTCTTCAAGAATCTCGGGAAACTAAATTTTTCTAAATTTTAAATTTACGAATATTATCATAACTGAATGTAAAAGTCGTATTTTTGAAAATTGAGATTCTCGGCTAAAAAATAAAAATTCTCCTGTACCGAACGTTTCCATTGCTGGCATTGTACAAGCTTTGGTGCTATTATTTTATTATTTCCAAATATGATAAGTTGCATTTCATATTGCAAGTCTAGCATAATACAAAGTACAAACATAGCAGTTCTTATTGATACAAGACATAATAACATCCAAACAAACATGATAACCACACATACATAAGGGAATGAAGGAATTGGATTCCTTCTATATTTTATTTAAAACTGTAACACACACAACCATTAGATGGAGATACTATTAGGAATGCCTCTGAAAGTCAATCCTTCCTCACTAGAAGGATAAAGCAGAGTGTAAGGCATCTTCACCGGCCCATATCGATTCCTCAGTGTCTCATCATCGTTCCTTTGAATGAGCTTTTGCTCAATGTCAGCCAATTTCTTTCCAAACCTCTTAAAGGCCTCTAATGGCTGTGTATCAAAAGTCCAAAAATCACCACCATCTCTCTGTCCAAGGTAAAACTCATCAGAAGCATGCCTTGACAAGACCTCTATAATGGTAAGGTCAGTAAGAGTCTCATTCTTTGCGGTGATTGTCTTCAAATACACCTTCTCAGGGTTCTTAGCAAGCTCATCATACTCAGGGGATCCTAACTCAGGCATGAATCTCCTGCTAAGAGTTGGTCGGTTAAGGATATAACCTCCATAAGGGTATTGCCCAAAATTAACAGCTGCGTGAAGTGCTGAAGCAGTCCATATGAGGATGGTGCAAGATTCAACTAACTCTTCACGAGTTTGCAATTTAGGCCACCATGGCTCATCTTTCTTGTCACCGTGACCAACTTCTACAAGCTCTTTCCAAAAAGCTTGGAGTTCAGAATCTTGTGCAATTGTAGCATCTGAGTTGTAGTAGAAAGCAACATATTCTTGAACCCATGACTTGATAGCATCCCATATCTCTAGTCCATCAGCAGCATAAGGATAATCCTCTATCAGAAGACGAATGCCATGTGGGGAAGCTGAATCCTCAACAGCCACTCCTCTGGATATATAACAAGCAAGGAAGATCATATATTAATATCAACATTGAGAATATCTTTTTAGATCAATATTTTTTTTTAGGGGCATGCTTTTTATGGATTACCTCTTGATAAGATCAGCTGGTAGTCCTTGCTCAGTGAAAACCCAATCCTTGTATGCAACAGCAGACATTTCCAAAGCATATCCTCCCCACAAGAATGTTGATTCAATAATACCCTCTGCATTGACCAGGACATTCCGTGCAAGTGAATTGATGTTCATTGTGTCACGATAATGTGGAAGCAGAAGCTTGTGAATAGGGTGAACCACACTAAGATGCCTGTTTGTTGCTATGACGAATGGCTCAACAACTGCATGAGTGTTTAACCTGCCATACATGAAAGATATTGATGAATAATTCATAGATAGATATACTAAGTTTGTAATATTGTATAAATTTCATTAACAAAATTTATACCAATGGCTGACAAGTTGGTGATAGCAGGAGTCATTCACGACTACATAAGCCTTGGCAAGTAGCCAAATATAAGATTCAACACCTTGGTCTGCAGGCAGATAAACATTACTGACAGGACCAAAACTATCACCCTGAGGATGTGGCTTACTTAGCTCAATGGCCAATGGCTTCAAAGTTCCATCATTTTTCAAGAAAAAGATAGTTCGAGTAGCATATGCCTTTGTTTCAGTTGCGTTTATTCGCCTCAAATATGGAAAGAGTGGGTCATGGTGATCCAGTATGAACAATTTGTTATTTTGGATAGCCTGTTCAGCCAAATATAATTTAGTTATTATGATTCATTTGAATCACATCGAATCAAATCCATTTTGCAGCAAAGCATAATTAATTTGAATTCTTCCAAGTAATGTTTCTATATAACAAAAAAAAAAAATAGTTGTATCATTACCTGTTCTACAGTAAGCCCCCCCAAGTTTGGCTCCAATTGCTCTTTGAGTATTGTACTGGTATTATTACCATAGAGTTGGCTATCTAGCTTGCTCTGTGGCGGGAACTCCTGCATTAAATTTAGCATGCAATTATGTTATATCAATTGCAAATTTAACATGAAAAGTGGATAACATGTTTTTTAGTTTTATGTACTTGGTTAACAATAAACTATAAATCAAGTTTACCTGAAGTCTTGTAATAATGTGTGGATTTACACCAGCAATGGTCTCTCTTGCAAATTCCTCATCAGTCATCCATGCAGACTTTTCCACTGCTCCAAATTAGGATATTTCAAAAGTTCTATTAGCTTTACATGTTTCTGAATATAAATATTGCTAGGACTATGTTTCTAATATACCTTGAATCACTTTAGGTGGTGGAAACTTAAGGGTCTGTTCGCCATCACTTCGGAAGAGTTCCGTGAACAATGGTATTGGGCTAATCTTGCTAAGTATATCAGTAGGTACCTTAATTCCACCTTCGTATAGTCCACGCACTTCATCAAAGCTATTAAACTCAGGCTGATTGAATTGTAATGTGAGTACAGATTGTAATCGAGGTATAACATTCTGAGATGCAGATTTAAGTATATAAACAAGAAAGTCTGATGATTTCTCGTGACCAAATGATTCATCTCTTGGAAGGTAAACAGTGTCGCTGCGACTCTCACTTTTAGGATCTGTTCAGATATATAATAGCAAAATGTATATATATATTAGCAACAGTAACAACAATTTTACAATCAACAAAAGACATTTTCAACTCCAGAAAAATGATTTCTTATTTCTCATGTTCTGATTCTTACACATATAAAAGTATATGAGGTAATGTGAAATAAAAAGAGAGAAAAAGAAAATATAAGTTTCACATATTTTTATGTGCGTAGATAGAACACCCATAAAAAATTGCTATATATGCTATGGTAAACTTTCTGAATACAATTTCACAATCATAAAAAAAAAGGAACTAAAAACAGGCTTAAGTTTTAATAGAACAGAAGCTTTACCTTTCCTAGATGCTTTTCTACCAGTTCTTCCCCTACGAGGGTAAGGCAAGCTGCTATTACCTCCAAGAACTGGACGAGCCAACTTTTGATTCTTGTCTGGATCTCCCAAATCATTGTAGACATCATAATCATAGATCCTTTCATATTCTTTGCGTTCTCCTTTTCCATCTCCTCTTAAAGTGTTCAATTCATCTTCTCTATACTTGACTAGTGGAGCTGGTGTGTCACTTGGAAGGTATGTCTACATTTATGTTGAATAACGCTTTATCATTGATTTTGTGAATTTTTGGAAAAAAAGACTTTATTTTTTTTTACATAAAAAGTTAAGAGTAGGGGAGACACACCTCGTGTAAGGGGGAAGACTACTAACCTCATTGATAATTTAAAATGGGATTACATATAGGAGAATGTTATATTTACAAATTTTTTGTTTACAAATTCTTACAAACTACACTAAGTATGACCGGTCATACTTCAATCAAAAGTGTATGACCGATCATACTTAATGTAATTTGTAAAAAAGTTTGTAAACGGATCTTTCCTTTCCCTTACATATATATAATCAATCTTGTTGAGTATTTAAGATGAGATTATATATTACATATCATCAATCTCATTAAGTATTTAAGGTGAATTTATATATTATTGCTTAATTACTAATGCTTATAAAAGGTTTGACCAGCTTTGCCAATCTTGATATATCATTGGCTGTGAAATAGAATTTTAAATTTAACAAATTACTAGTTAATTGCTAGGTGAATAGTTGTTTACCTTGTTGGCAAAGAAAATGCGGTCAGTTTTGTACTTTCTAAAGTTGTAAACCCATGAGTTGCAAACAAAGTGGATGGTTCCTTGGTTTGGAACGTCTTCAAGAGTCATACTCACGAGGAAGAATTCAAGATCCATATAATTCTCGATGTAAAATGCTCCAGGAATTCCCATATCACTTCCCCATTCAAAATCAATATCGAATGCAGACTGGCGAACTCCCAGGGTTGGTATGGAGGTAACAATACCTCCCAAATAGGTTTGCTTTCCCAATTTCCCTTTCCCAGTTCCTACAAAAATTTCACACTTCAAATTCTGAATTATTGAGCTTCAGTAGTAATGAATGTGAATTATAGAATTTAACATAAGAAACGGCAAGTTTTCTTTAAATAAGATTTGTGTCTTACTTATTTTGTTAAAGAAAATAAAAGGAACTTTTTTCTTTTCATTAAACTCATTGTTGTCCCCTTTTAAAATCAATTAGTACTTTGTCCTATGTTGTATATGAACAAAATCCACAATTATTGGGGAGTGAAATGTTAACTACTAAGCCAAATTATTTTGGTTAATATATTACTTTTATTTATATATTTATTATATGATAAAAGTATTTGTTATTTTAAATGAAACAATTATGTATTATTTTAAGTGAAACAACTGTATTTTGATTGATATTTGATGATTTTTAATTCTCTCTCCTCTATTTTTTATAAAGAAGAGAGAAATATATGTATCAAACACGATCATTTCACTTAAAATAGCACAAAATTATATACTTTGAAATGATAAATATTTTTCCTTTATTATATACTTTATATAAATTTAATTTAAATATCAGTGACCTATACAGAGTCAATATAACGATCCCGAAATTAACAACGTTAATATATATTAATTAGGAGAATGTTATATTTACAAAAATTTTGTTTACAAATTTTTTGTTTACAAACTACACTATGTCTGACAGGTCATACTTCAATCAAGAGTGTGTGACTGGTCAAACTTAACATGATTTATATAAAAAAATGAGTTTGGTGTTTGTCATTTTTAAACGACATAAGTTATGTTATTTTAGGAGAGAGATAGACACAGAAAAATGGAAATCATGGGAGAGAGAAAGTGGGTGGTTTTTTTTAATTTAAAATTCAAATTTTCTGTGTCTGTATCTCTCTTAAAATAACATAACACTTTTTCAAAAAAAAAAAAAAATTGTAAACATATCATTCCCAATTAATTATATATTAAGGATGGATGAGTATTAGAATTGAGTAATGAGAGAAAGAAGTTACCATCAGCAGCGGTGGCACTAATCAACTGCAGGGCCACCGATCGGCCCAAGAAGGAAGTTGCAAGGTCGAGTGTGGTCTTAGCGATATCGGCGATAGAATTGACGATACCGCCGAAGATACCAGTGACACTTTGAGCGGATGTAAGGGCGTTGATGTCCAATGCATTCTTGTGCATCAACACGACAGTACCCTTCAGCTTTTGTCCAACCATCTTTGCTGTTTTGAGTAGTGAGTACTGAGTAGTGAGGAATCCATGCAAGGGATTAGTCACTATTTATAAGGCCAGAAAACATGTTACAGATCATTTTCTTGAGCTACTAATTAACAACATGTGCAAAACGAGATTATATAGAAACACAAACACATCCATATAAGATCATTTGTATAGTAGAAAATTGCTAAATGACACATCAGTATAAACATATGAAAAATAAAATGAACTCAAGTATAATAAAATAATATAAATTATTCTATATTGGTGCGTGAAGCAAAATTTTATTGATTATTGTGGAGCTTCGACTTTATGTAATGTTTTTGTTTGCATTATATACATATTTACTTATTAAAGCTCCTCTTCGTTTAGTTCAATTTGAGATTGGTAGGATTATATAGACAAAAAAACTCTCTCTTCCAAATGTTAACATAGCTGAATTCCAAGGGACTCGAACGGTTAAGCTAGAATAAGTCCTTACCAATTGATCTGCACGCTTAGTGATAAAGCTTTGTGTAAGATGATTTATTTACATGGTATTATTATAGGTTTTAGTAAATGCCGGGTTTTGGGGTAAACTTTTGCTTTAAATAACGTGTACTCTTGTATCTGGTTGTTCCTTTTATTTCAGAAATTTATAATTAGCATCAAATTTGTAACCAAAAGTAAATAATTACCATCAAATTAGTTCACTAGGGTGTCACTCAAAGAATCTTAAAAGTAACCTCCTTTTTAATTATTTTTAATTATTGGACTTTGAATGTTGAATTAAGTTTTTAAAAAAAGTAAAATGTTAAAATTATATCATTTTTGTCCTATCTTCAGCCACTAAGAATGCATGTTATTTTATGTTTTAGGACTAATTAATCAATGTGATATATTTCTTTTATAAAACCAAAAGAATGGAAAAGCACAAGTTACCAAAAGAATGCATGACAGCCGCAAGTTGTGTGTTGTACCGTGGTTTGAGTTGCTGATAAGCTAAGAAAGTTGGCCCATTTTACTCAATTGTAAATTGGGACTTTGCTCCTCTAATTTAAGGGACGCCATTTTACATACAAGAAGACAGGCACGATCTTTTACAGCCGTCGCACATAAAGAGGGTGGAGTTCTGAAAGAGAATTTGCGAGTTTAATGACTTGATAGTACATTGTTATGCCAAATAATGTTACCATCAATATCATTATCATATCTTAACTGCCAATCAACAGTTATTATTTTCACAAATCAAACTCATTGATTAATTAATAATTCATAATAAATGATAATTGTTAATTGACGAAAATCAACGGTTAAAATATGATACTAACATTGGTAGTAATAATATTCTATTCCTTAATTACTGGAAACCTATATTAAATTTATGTTCTTATAAAAATTCATCTCAATGACATATTGACATCCATTCGCCTGATAAAGTACATTCTTAACTAGTGCTACAATTGTATGTGATAATCTTCGAACAAATCAACGCATATACATGAACGAAAATTTACATTTTTTTTCCGTCTCAATACGAGTTTAAATTGTATTTTTTTAATATCAAAAATAATAATTTTTAAGAAATAAAAATATTTTATTACTTAGCCCATTTTGATGTAGACATACTTTTTAATGATAAGGAATAATTATAAAAAAAAAAATCATTTATTTTTTATTTTCAATGTCACTGACAACTAATTTTGAATATTCGTTACTATCTTTGAATAACTTCGTCAACCCAAATTTTAACTGCGTCTTATATGATTTACAATTAATAATAGGAGTTGAAAACTAATCATAGAAGAAGTTCAGAGTCACAAAGAAAATTACAAAATATTATTGAAGAGTTCTTTCATATTAGGGAAGTAATTTTGGATCAGCTGTGACAAAAATCTATTTGCTTTACATCACAAAGTTAATTGATTAGCCTCATCCAAATTAATAAAGTGACTCCTCGAATTCAAATATATATATATATATATATATATATATATATATATATATATATATATATATATATATAAACATATTAACATTATAAAAAAATCATAATTTTTTAAAATTAAAAAAATACAATTTAAAACGTGCAAGATAGTGTAATTTATCTATATCTTTCAGGTTGTGAATCTTTTAGTTTACTTGTCGATAGGATCAAATTTTTAAACACAATACCAACAACTAAGTGACTCACACAAGACAATATTAAATTAAATAGCTCACATCTAACTATTATTTAATTTATTACTTTTTTTAATATCTTTCTTAATGTTTTGGGTAAGATGAAAACATGAGTCAGATATTTTTTAGTTTTTATTAGCTAATGAGAAGGAATCGGGCATCATTTGGCAATATAGTTTCACAATATTGTCATTGAGCAGCAAGGAGTTATCGAATAATACAGACTGGTATGAATAAGGCCTCAGAAACAAACTGGTACGCTTAAACTATGGGTAAATGATTTGTGAGAGTCAATGGAGATAAATTATTTCTGGTGAGCCCAAAACAATGTTATTTTGAATGAAAATTAAGATGTTTTTGTAATTATAATATATTGTAAGATTATATTAGTCTTTATCATTATAATTTTTTTAATCTGATAACCCAAAACGACGTCGTTTTGAGCATACTGGAGATAATTTTATATCCGGTGACTGGAGAAATACTTTTCTGTTAAATATATACACTACCTGACTAGAGAAATACTTTTCTCTTAAATATATACACTACCTATATATTTTGAGAGAACGATGATTTTTTTTTTTAATCTCCAAAAAAAATAAAATCCATTCAATCATACTTATATATGAGTTGTTTTTGTGTGTATAACTTATTTAGCGAACAACAAGATTTACACTATATTTTTAATTTATCATCCATTTTTTGGGTATAATTTAAGGGAAAAATGTTTGTCATTTTAAATGACAGAAAGTTATGTCATTTTAAGAGAGATACAGACACAGAAAATTTGAATTTTAAATTAAAAAAACCATTCACTTTCTCTCTCCCATGATTTCTGTTTTTCTGTATCTATCTCTCTCCTAAATGACATAACTTATGTCATTTAAAATGACAAACACCAAACCCATAATTTAAACAATAAACGTTTTCATGTAAATTAAATTCATTAGATAAGCTTGGATTGGATGATATATAAGTATATCACACTTTTAGAAATAAAAAAAATTAAATTTGAATAAAATAATTATTAAGAAAACTCCTTAATTATAATTTATAATAATTCTCTAAATATTAGTCTTAATAATTTCTATAAGAATACCCAAATAAAAAAGTCCATATTTGCTTTTGCAATCCAAATCGTGCTTGTTGTTTTAATTGATTTTGGATAGTTAAATTATGACAAATTTTATATTCAGCACTAACATCATAAATTTGGATCGAATTGAAACATTGTTCTATGTATATGTTATATTGCATGGCCGGTCAACATATATATATATATATATATATATATATATATATATATATATATATATATATATATGTATGTATGTATATGGTGGTGCCTCGCATTTGTTTATTTTATAACAGTTATTAATGCTATAATATTTATTTATTTTTTTAAAAATGAGACTTGTGTATTATATTTAAAAGAAAGGATATGGGAACAAAGTTATCCACTGTAATTCGAAAATAATATTATTTAGGTTTAAAAAAAAGGAAATTTTGAAATTAATTTTCATGTTTTAAAAAAGAAGTAATATTTTCAAAATGCCTTGTATTCCCCTTCCCCGAAACTCAAGCAGTATTATTTTGAAATTGCAGATATAATTTTATCTCTTCTAGCAAGAGAAATATTTTTTCCTAAAATAAATTACTTACCTAAATAAATTGTTTACAAAAATTTAAAAAGCTTCTAAATAGTTATTTAATATCTTGATATAACTAAAATTTTTAAGAAATTTCAAATTTAAAGGAAATTCATTTTAATGGGATAGGTTATTCTACCTACCTTTTTTCTGTCTACCTTTGCTTACCACTCTCAAACGTCGTTAGATCGAAAGTTCAAAAAGAGAGAGAAAGATAAATATTAATTAAGATCAAAATGAACATATTATAAGGATAAAAGTAAATACTTAATTGAAGAGATAATTAAGGAAGAGAAGGTTTTTTATTTGCAGATGAAGTTCAATAAAAATAAAAGATTACCGATAAGAAAAATGTCAGAAAAAGAAAAATAATATGCTTTCCTATAAAAAAAATTAATTGGAATTGGAATTTGTTTAATTGGATTTTTATTTACAAGTTTATTTTTTCATCATTTTCCAATCTTTAATTGAAATTTGTTTAAAAAGTAACTTATAAAGGTATGATAGCAAATATTTTTTATCATAATAAATTTTGGGCGAACACAGGAAGAAAAAAAATTAATTATTAAATTATTATTTATAATAAATTTGACGTTTTTAAATTTATAAATATTGCAATAAATTGTGCAAGACATATGAGAATTATTCATTTTTTAATTATTATTTAACTCAATTAGTTTTATGCTAATTTCTGATTTTATGCCAAAATAATTATATCAATTTATATAGAGTTATAGAATATAAGTAGAAGAGATAGTAAAACGATTACCAAAAAAAGAAGAGATAGTAAAACAAGAATCTCATAGAGTTACCATGTGATACTCCAATATCGCTAATGAGGCCATTAGGAGTGTTAATAGGTCGAGTCGAGTCGAATTTTAGTCTTAAAAGATTAAATCTGTGTTTAAATGTGTCATTCTGACTAAGCCTATTATCTGTTATAAATATAATTATCGTCCTGCAGCCTGACTTATTTATAAAAAATAAAAGCCTAGTTTAGTCTATTTACAAAAAATAAGACAACAAAAATTTATCTAAACAGAATATACAACCAACAACACTAGTAATTTCATAAATAATCATAAATTCAATGTATATCTAAACAACATAATATAAAATAAAACCATTCAAAAATTCTGTTTAACCAATAAAATGGGTGAAATGGATTGAGGAGAGAGAAAAGGCTATTAC